ACGAAATCCCAAACCCCGATGGCAAACACCGGGGGGGGGCGGAGGGGGGGGATAATCATGTTCGCCTTAGCGGTTAGATCGTTGGACACGCGTCCTCTCGAAGAGGACGGAGCATTTTCCCCACTGGACCGGTCATCGATTGCCAATCGTTTCCTTTGGGGAGGGGGTAGTAGTAGTGACGATGCATTGCAGGCGGGTTTTCTTGCAAGCTGCCGACACCCACCTCCCCAGCAACTTGGACATGTATTTTAATCCCGGCCACTTGGGCTCCGTTTTATTTGAGTACCATGCGTTTTTCAAGGTAAGTTTGCCTGCGACCACGGCACAGATGAAGGTACTGGGTAGTGTCGAGAGATCGGAACGGTTTTTTAATGTGAAGACACCAAAAATGATCCCCACCGGCGCTCATGGCATGTACTCATAGAAGACCTGCGCGTGCCCCCCCCCCGGTCTGTATCACACACACACACACACACACACACACACACACCACGGCAGTTTTATTCTTCTGTTATTGCTGCGGTATCCGTCTTTAATCCGGAGAGTAGCACAACGTCCCCAGTTGCGCCCCCTCACGGCGTCGGTCCCAGATCATGGTAGTACCCTGTAGAACCAAGAATTTTGCGTTTTCAATCGCACTGAGACTGGCGTCTCTACATTGGTCAGCAGGTTTGTTAGCGCGGTCGATGCCATTTAATACCAAAAAAAATGTCACACACACCTTGGCCTTTTAAGAAGCGTTTTATGTTTTCAACCGCACTGAGATTGACGTCGTTTCATTGGTCAGCCCGTTAGTTAGCGCGGTCGATGCTAGTAGCTAATAATAAACACACACTTCACCTACGCCACCGCCACCGTATCATCCCGTGCAGTTTTACAGCCTGGTGTGCAGGGAGCTCCTCAAGCGAGGCCTCGGCATGTGGAGAGGGGACGACGCCCCGCCGGAGCCGCCGCCCCCCGCTGATTCCACGGGCCCCCCTCCCTCCCGAGGGGAAGGGGCCGGGGACGTTGGCGCTAGCGGCGAGTTGGGATCGGAGCGACGGCAGCAGGGCGAGCAGGGCGACGGGGAAGAGGCCGGGTTTGCGGAGGTTGTGGAGGCGGTACGCGCGAATTCCTCCGCTTCCGCCGCCACAGCAGCTTCGGAAGGAACGGCAGCAGCAGCAGCAGCAGCAGGTACCGGTGCCGGTGCTGGTGCTTCTGCCTCGCCGCCGCCGTCGTCGGCTGCAGCGGCAGGAGGTGCAGGGGCAGCAACAGCTGCTGCTGGTGGTTCCGAGGCTTCGGGTTCGGCATCACCGGGCCGAGAGGTACCCGCCGCTGGCTCTGCCGCTGACGCTGCCGCTGGCTCTGCGGTGTCGGCGCAGCCGGCAGCCGGCGGCGGCGGTGGTGGTGGTGGTGGTAGTGCGGGGGAGAACGAGGGCGAGGGTGACCACCAGCCGTACCTGGACCTTGGACCCGAGGGCTTGTTTCCGGCGCCGCTGGACCGCAGGGATGGGGTCATGCGGGCCACCGTTGAGACTCGGTTCAGGTGGGGGTGGTGTGTGTGTGTGTGTGTTTTTTTTTATTATTAGCATCGACCGCGCTAGCCGGCTGACCAATGAAAAGACGTCAGTCTTAGTGCGGTTGAAAACACAAAACACTTCTATCTGCCATGAACTGGGACCCCGTGAGGGGGCAGTGTGTGTATGTGTGTGTGCACAGCGCGCGCCAGGTGGAATTGCTCCTTGGTCTGTGATGAAATAAAAGCCTCCTGTGGGAACAATGCTCCGTCCTCTCGAGGACGCGTGGTCAATGGTCTAACCGCTAAGGCATGCAAAACATAAGAGTACGCCCCCCCCGTATCACACTTGCTGATGTGAGAGCCTGGTCCGGTGAGAACTGGGCGTTCTCCGTCCTGGCTTTTTAGGGATGCTAGGTCAATGGTCTAACAACTGCGGCATGCACGACTATGACCCCCCCCTCATCACACATTTTTAGCGCTCTTCTTGTCTCATAAAATGACGAAATTACCCTTCCCCCCCCCCCCCACCCTTGCTCCACACATGCGTACGCTGGAATAAATTGCTGGGCAGGCTGATGGGGAAGGCCCTTAAGGACGGCCGGATGTTAAACCTCCCCCTGGCGCTGCCGCTGTGCGGCCTCATCGTGGGCCTTCGCCGCCGTCCCACGGCAGGTGATTTTTTTTTTTTTCTTCTTGTCATGTGATGACAACCAAGCTTGTCGAACTCGATAGGCGATTGCCTTGTATTTTTTTTTTGTGCGGTCGTGGTCTCGTGACAGGCAACAATCACTGCGGTATATCATCGGGACAGCGCACTATTGGATGTTGGGGAATATATGAATTTTTTAGTTTTGTAGCCAAATCCCGCAACAAGCGATATTGTACCGCGGTGTATCGGGACCCGCACTACCGGGACCGCGGTACGGTGTACAGTATATCCGGACCACCACTGTGCAATAGCAGCTTTTGTTCACGCCCACCCATAGGGGTGGCTTTTTTTCCTTCGCAAGAAAAAAGCTGTTTCAGTTTTCATTCTCCGGCCCCCCCCACACCGGCCTTGGTGAGAACCCGGCGTGCTCCGTCCCGGCTTTATAGGGAAGCGAGGTCTATGGTCTGACGACTACGGTATTCACGATTATGAGTACCCCCCCACGTTGTTTATTATTTTTTTTTAGTCAAACACGACGCAAGTAGTTTGCCGCTGCAATCGATAGATAGAACGTTTCTGTATTTGCCATCCTTTGATGAGACCCTTTGTTGTGTAACGGTTTCTCACCCGCAAAGTGAGTGGTGCGTGATGGGTGCTTTCGTCCCCCATCTGTTGTTGTGGGCACCAGCTTACGACAGCGACCCTGTACACGCGTTTGTTTTGACGCACCCGCCGGGGGTGCTCCTCTGCCTCCCCGTGTCGCGTTGTTACAGTCAGCTAATGTTACCTTCTGAAATACGCTCTAAAATTTCAGACGGGCAACGCCGATGAAGTTGTCGAGTTCCGGCTGTCCCAGCAGGTTTTTTGGTCATGGTACATGACACCTCCTTGGGGGCAAGCGAATTAAATGAAGCCATACATGCTGAACGTCGCACAGGAGGAAAATGCTATGGCGGCCGGCATCTCACCATTCCACGACTTGTAGCAAAATAGCTGGATCAGCCTGTTGCATCTGTGGATCACCTGTCGTAGTTAGTACTCTTGGGGTACCGGTTTCCGCATCGGAATGTGACGCGACATGATTTGATGCGACTCTAATAGGTCTGCACAGCAGTTACATGTGTTGATCCTTTTTTGTTTTTGCCCATGGTGGTAAGAAGTACCCCCCCCTCTCCTGGTTCGCGTTGCACGGTGCCCTCCTTAGGCGCGAAGCCTCTAGCTCTGAGCGACGTGGGCCTGATAGACGAAGCGCTCGGGAGGAGCTTGGGCAGCGTCGCGGAGCTTGCTCGAGAGGTTGAGGAGGCCAAGGTGTGTTTGTTCCCTGAGCCGGCGAGGCACATATCTTGCCCAAAGAGCTAAACATCTATCGTTATTGCATTCCCGTTGCTGATTGTTTCTAAAGTTTTTTTAAGTTTACGCGTGGAGCAGGCATGAGTGTATGCATGTGATGCTGTAGTGTTCGCGAGTGCGCACATGTGATGCTGTAGTGTTATCACCTACATGCGTAACTCGTGCTCGTGGGTGTGTGACTTGGCTGACCCGACTGAGTGGCCGAGGTGTGTGTGTGTTATCTTTTTTTGTTGGCGTCGACCGCGCTAGCTACCCGGCTGATCAATGATGGGGATAAATCAAGGTCCCTGGAAGGGAACCAAAAATCGTCTGTGTGTGTGTGTGTGCCCAAAACAGCCGAATCGACCTGTATATTCTATGAAAGGAGCGCACGTATGAATGTAGATGGCACGGAAGTTTGATCCAATAATTGTAATTGTTCCGAAACGAGGACGTCTAGAAGTATCATCGGAAACTCTTCGGTCCCAACAGAAGTGTCTCCACGGGTCCTATTCCGCCAAGTGTTTTTTTTTCTTTCTATCTGTTCCTTTTACGCGTCACGCATTGGTACCTTTTTCATTCCCGTTTTTCTTGTGTTGAGAAGGTGCCCTATTTAGCGCGCATTGTAATTTGTTTTCGCTTCACGCGTGCGAGAAGAATTGCTCCGTAATTGCTGGGAAAAACGTCCATCTGAGTTTGGGAACCCTTCCCGCTTCGATAAATAACTAAGCACGTTTTTTTTGTTCTGAACGTTCATCTTCATGTTTCACACGTACCCAAGCACGTTTTGTGATTGTTCTTGAAGGTCCATCCTTCATTCTTGGTATCAGGCGGCAAAAAGCAGCACGTACGTTACGTTTTACGTTTTTTTTACTTATTTTGCTTTATTTCTTCGTCCCTCATTTTTCGTCTCAGGCCGCGCTGGGGGGCGAGGGTAGCGGCGTCAAGGCCGCCGTCCGGTCGATGTCGGAGCTGGAGGAGTACGCGGAGAACCTCTGCCTCTCCTGGACTCTTCCCGGTTACCCCTGGTGAGGACCCTAACCCTTACCCAACCCTAACCCTAACCCTAACCCTAACCCTAATCCAACCCTAATCTTCCCTAACCCTAACCCTGTTGTTGTTTGTGCCGCTGTTGTTGGTGAGGTCCCTACTAACCCTGTTGCTTTTTGCGGTCGCTGTTGTTGTTGTGGTCACGAGGTTGACTGTGATATGATAGGTGTTGGTGTGATATGATAGGTGTTGGTACTAAACGCCTTGCGCCATTTGTTTCCCCAGCCAGCCACAACGCAGACAAACAAGACTGTTGCGCTTCTTTCCCTTGTGTTTCCCTCTCCCTCTTCCTTTCTCTCCCTTTCTCTC